AAAGTCGTCTTTGAGTTTTGATATTTAATGCATGACAAAGTATAAAAACGAGGTTCTACGTCTTACGCGCTTTTCATAAAGTGGCTCTACCATTTTTGTATCTTAAAAAGTGACGAAGATATTAGATATTAAGTCAATTTTGAATTATTAGATAAATTTTTATGTAAAAATTTAGCAATTTCTCCGTCAATTTTGAAGATTTCAAAAAATGGTAGACCACATTTTGAAGTTCTCAGGATTGTTTAATATTTAATGTTTAAACTGGAATACTCCAATAACTGTGTTCATGAAAAATGCTGGATGAATCGAAGACGATATAAAAGTCGTCACTTAATTGGGATATCCTGAAACTTGGGATATCTAGTGTATAGAGTGAGAATGTACGCTAATCCTTATTATTGTACAGTCCGCGTAATCCACTTTAAAAGGTCAATCCCATAGATAAATAAGTAAACATAGATAGCTTATGTACGCAAAATCACCAAGAATTGTACAGTCCGCGAACTAATACTTCTAAGGGTCAAAGTGTACTTCAATGATAAGCGGGGTGGTTTGGTTTTTTAATGGATTTCACAATAGAGTGGAATGGAACTATTTGAACAACAATATTTCACTGAGCAATATATCATATTGACGAGAACTGAAGAAGGACATGAGAAGGACTAAACCAACTTAAATTTCTCTCTACAGAACTCATGTACACCACAAGTACTCAATGACATAAGAACAGCCAATTTTCACAACCGATATAATAGGAATATCTTTAAAACATCTCTGTACATTTATATCGCGCGTTCAAGATGAAAAATGCGCAATCTATCTTTATCTATGGTCAATCCGTATATTACAGTAGGCGGGGGGGGGATTACAGAAAATATTATTTTTCGCTTAAACAGAAATTGGTTTACAATAAAGAAAATTTAAAAGGACTGAAGACATTTAAGTTCAATTGGTCTTTTCCGTTTATAGGCATGAACGATACACAACGGTACCTAGGAATGCATGATATCAATAATTTTCTCTTTCAAAATAGATCGTTATAACTGTGGTGACCTGCGGAGTTTATGCATTTGAAATAATGAACGAAATTGTCAGAATTAAACTTCTTTTGATCTTTACAAACGACTATATCTTCCACATTATTGATCATTTCTGGTTTAAAGAGTATCGCTGTGTATTTGTTTTCCATTTAACAAGCTGGTTAACCATGCTGCTCTGTGCAATATAACATTTTCACAAAGAGACGTGCTAAAACAATCTATAACAGAGCAATACTTAATTGTTTACAAACGATTATGAGTAAACTTTAAGATACTAAACCTCCCCAAACACTTGTACTCCGAAAGCGTACTGCATATTTGATGTGTGTACTACTTAAAATTAGGCCGTAAATAGCTGCATAGGTAGTGAACTATCATCCCTCTGATTAAATGTAATCTATAAAATGTCTGTAAGTGCATTAAATTACAAGGCCTTACGATTTTGTTATTATTAGTAATCTCAATTCATAAAAAGTTTTAGACTTTCTACAGATTCTTAAATTCCAGCCACGAGTACCATCGTTTGTGTCTTTTTTTTGTGTATTATATTCGTCTTCTTTTCATATTTCTTGGTAATTTTTGTAATTCCTATTTATGAATTTTTGGTTGAATATTCTAAATATATAAAATACAATATTTCAGATGGGTTTTGAATAAGAGATAAAAATATGACTGAATATATATACCTTAACCTATAGATACACAACTTTTGTATTTTTTTGATTCTAATTTCTAAAATTTAATAAAAAAAATGTCCATTCATTATAAAAGAGAGCACATTTCTTAATGGCTGGTCTCTGCTCTCTGTTTTATTAAGTTTTGTTATTGACAATTTGTTCAGTTGACCATGGATATACGTTCAAATCAAAGAATTGGAGAACTTATTAGTTTTCAGAACAATAATATGGTTTTTATTAAAACTCTCTGAAGTTTGTACACACCTAGTCGTTATCTTTTGGTGGCGAAAATAAACACTAGACTAAACTTAACTTTTATATAAAAAGAATTTAAGATCTTAAGAGTTTTAAGCTTGAACAACTCATAATATTGGTAAAAAAATTACACTAAATCTTGAGTGTTCACATCTTGGATCAATTAGACATGTCAAGAAAAAATAGAATAAACTACAAATAATGGAAAATAGTTTTTATGTCGCCTTGGGGCAAAAATAACAAAATATCAAATGCCAACTGATCAAAATTATTAAAATTATTAAAAAGCTGCATGCTAAACAATTAGGACATCTATAATTTACTTTTTAAAAAATATTATACGGCAAAATTCGGCATTTGATTCTGATATTTATCTGTCTTGAGACTTTAAACAAGCATCCACAAATTTACAGAAAATGGTTCTTCCAATCAGATCCTTTCATTTGTTATTGTTTCCATGGTTTTAGTCTAAAAAAGAGCAAACTATCAAACTTAGACCAAGGAGGTTGCCCCAATCATATCTCTGAGTTTATATTGTTTCCATGGTGTTATAATGGAACCTAGAGACCCACCTTGTCGAAAAAAGTTTCCACCAATAATATCTCTGCAAGGAGGTTTTTCCAATAATATCTCTGCGCTTGTAAATGTTTCCACCAATAATATCTCTGCGCTTGTAAATGTTTCCATGGTTTTAACTAAAGGGAGGCAAGCTAGGTTGTTGTAAGCTACCTCTATCAGCATCAATTCCTTCTGCTCTTAAATCTTTCAGTTATGTCAATGTAGTTAGTAAGGAGAGTGCAACATAATTTATGTTCATTGTTAGTTTGAATTTTCTATTAAATCATTAACAAATCACATGCAATATGTAGATTTAACTTCTTGTACAATTAAGTGCAAAGTATTGGTTTTATCTGAAAAGCACTTGATCTCAAAATGCGACGCTTGCAGTTTTAAATTTGAAAAAACATGTTTGTTTTTTAATTAAAATTACCCTGAAAAAAATATTGCTACCACAAGACTTTGCAGAGGAATAAAATAAATCCGCGGGTCTGCATAAGATGGAGATCAATGATTTATTTTGAGATGCGTATTATTACCACAAAATTGTGACTTCAGTTTACAGAGGCATATTTGGCCTTTACCATTATCATTATATAAGAAAATAAAGAAAATATGTTAATAACTTTTATCTCTTTTATTCCTTAATTTTCATTTATAATTCCAACAATCATGGTTAGGGATATCATTGTGTTGACTGATTACTTGGGTCTCCATGGTTTCACTTAAGAGAAGAGTGTGGGGCCGGGAGAGTGCGAGCTTTTTTAGAGTAAAACTAGCTGGAGGTGTATTTTATTTAGAGTATGTAAACTCTACTTCCCTTTACTTATTCCCCTTACTCACTTGAAATATAGGTCAGAAAATATATTTCTTAGATAGAAAATTGGATTAAGATAAGTAAATTGTAAAGGATCAGAGGCAGAAAAAAGTTCCAAGCATATATATTCAAGGTTTTGGTGTGATTAACAGTGTGCCATACTCAAAGTATTGTTATAAACATATGAAAATGTTTTGAAAATAATATTGGCAAAAAGTTTTTTATTTTTATAATGTATTTCTGCAACCCAAACCAAATTTTCCTAGTATTTCTGGTTCAAAAAAGGCAGTTTTTAACCTCCTTGCGGGATATTTCATCTGTCATTTAAACATGTTTTAGACAAAATGGGCGGAATCTTCTCCATAGAAGTCAGCACTATTACCCACAGTAGAGTCTGCATCTATATGACCTCACTGCTTCTAATCTCAAACATGGTTGCCCACATGGTTCGAGCCTACAAAAGATCTCTTCCCTGCCTTAGAGTTAACATAGTCCTTATTCTTAACAGTTACCTCATTCAAGCTATCAACATTGTGATCTCATTAGCGGTAACATGGTCTAAACTAGAGATGGGCATCATTTATGTAAACAAACACATTATTTCAGAATATCATTTAGAAAAATTAAGAAATGAGTTGGATTCTTCAGAGAATTAAAAAAAAATGTTTTTAAAAAGGAATGGATCAGTAAGTTTTTTAACAAACAATTTCTTAATTATTTTTTTAACAAACTTAAAAAAGTTATTGTAGGAACATTTTTCAAACAACTTGAAAAACAATTGTTTCAAACAATCTTCTAAGAAATAGCATTTGTTACTTGATGAAGTTTTTTATTGAACAATTTTACCAAACTAACGATCTCTTCAAACAAACAATTTTATTGAACAATCATTTGGTTATAAAATAAAGAAATAGCTTGAAAATTATAATTCTGAAATAAATGAGTAAAATTTGTTTCTGAATAACGGAAAAATGGGTAACTAACAAATGATGAATGAATAGATTAAAATAAAACTAAAGAAGCCCATCTCTAGTCATTATTTTGTAAATACAAACAAATTTACTGAACAGAGATATTGAGAAAATTGTTCAGCTGTCTAATAAAAAAAAGAAAAAATAGTTTAAATGTTTTTCCTGTCTCTGTATGATTAATATAGGGTAAGTAAATAAAACAGGAGTAGCTTTTTTTCCAAACTATTAAATAACTATTTATGCAATAAACATTGCTAAGTCCTAAAGCACCACAAAATTTAAATTTACATCAAAATCAACCTTTTTCAGATTTTATAAACTGCAAAATCTATTTAGTTTTGTAACACATATTTTTGAGTTCAAAATCAAATATAATTAATGTTTGAAAACCGGCAACTTCTTGGCAGAGAAATTCACAATTAATAAGAAAGCATCCCTAGGGGTGCAATCTAACATTGCGATCCTGGTTTCAGGGTTGCAATGCAATGTAAATATCAGGATTCAATAGTTTCATAATTTTCTTCAAAAGTTGGAAAAATATTAATGTGAAGTCAAATACAGCTGTACAAATGTACACAATAGTCAGATCAATTTCTAATACAGCACTTTAAAATAGATTGAGCATCTACGGATTTAGGTGATTTTCTTAAGTTAGAATCATATTTTAATTTAGACTGCTATGACAGCTATCTCTTCTTGTGTGTATCTTCCCTACTGGTTCAGTGCAAGTGTAGAGATACTTATATTCTATAGTGTACACTTAGTCCTAATAACTCTTCTATTCATTGGGATTATCCGGCTTCTGGTGGTTATTAAGGTAAATTTGATTGGCGGGTTAGTTTCAACTTCAACTATTTCTGACATAAGATGAAGTTTAAAGTAAAATAATTTGCTGGACATATTTATCAATCTCTTGATATTTCTAGTTTGACCAAATGATCGGGTTTGATCCTGAAGAACTGGCACTGAGAATTCTCTGCTCAATTATCATGGTCTCTGCTGCTATTGTGGCATTTCCCTCAATTTACACCATCAAAACAGGTAAGTCCCCAGTGTATTGTAACTGATACTTAGATAAAGAGTCGGTCATCTCTAGGCACCAAGAGAAAGTTATGGAGTTTACCAAATAAATTTTCAAGTACAAAAGGTGGCAACAGAGAAATGGACCATTTATACACAACGTCTCAAGTGTCAAATAAAACAAGGAAAATAAAATTTTCTCACATAATTGACATGATTTCCAAGATTAATTTTTAAAAGTGTGAAAACAGAAAACGAAGGATACTTAAAATTGCACTTATTTCTTTGTAGGATAAGCACTTGTCTAAAATTATTACTATTATTGATAATTTTGTTGGACACAAACACTGAGTTAAGACTTGTGATGTTGCCATCTACTGTACATGACAATCTATTTGCAGTATACCTACAGATGTTGAGTACTTCTCAAAGGATTTTTCCCAAGTGTTATCTTCCCAAGGAAATTCTCCCAAGTGGCAACTTCCCAAATGTGCCACTTGGGGCCTCAGAGGACCTAACCAAAGTTTCCACTTTGGAAATTTTCACTTGGGAAGTCACCCTTGGGAAATGCCTTAGGGAAAGTACCAAACACCTACCTATAGACTTCTCTATGCAAAGTTATTCTTAATTCTAGTAAGATTATTAGGTCTGACAGCAGCATTGCTTTAGCATTAATAATCTAAATTCTTTCTTTTAGGGTTTATAACACCTCAAGTGTCAATCTTTACTGGACAGCCTCAGACATCAGGAACAATTCTGGATAACTTAACTGTTCATATTTGACAACAAAATTATTTTCAATTATTTTCAAAAACTTCTGCTTCTTTTTGAAACTTTACCCAGCCTTAACTTAAAGGGCACTCAAAAAGGAATAGCTTCTATTGCAACATGTTGCTTTCTTTAAACTGTTTTTAATTAAGATAAGGATATTTTTAACAAGATAACAAATTGAGCATTATTTTTTTTTACGAGTTTGGTATTAAAAGAATCTTTAAACATTTAACCATGCGTTTCAGGCATAGAGTATAAGAATAATTGTTAACACACATGCAGTCATTAATTTAATAAATCTAGAATTAGAGAAACAACCTCACTTTAATCCTTGCTACCTGTAATGAGAATCTTGAATTGTGACAACAGGTGTAATTAATTTTCACATGATGGTAGCTGTGATCAATGGTATTCTTTGTCCTCTTGTCTTTCTGATATCCTACAAGTATATTCAGCACCATCTCAACACAAATCACAACTCAAGGTAGGCAACAACTTGGTTAACTTTTTAAAAGTTTTTAGGTATTTGGAATTCTGGAAAGTTCCAAAAGTTTTATAATTTCAAAATTGTTATTTGCATTCCTTGTGCTTACACTGCTGAAAATGAATCATTAAGTTTCAAACCAAAACATCTAAGCCTATATACCTATCATTGCAAACACCAAGTAATATTATCAAAAAACACATTCATCAAAAAAAAAGACCCCAAATATTTGGTTTGGGTGCTAAGAAGGTTAAACAATACAAATAATATTAGACATTTTTATTTCAGGGGGGTTTCAAAGATGTAAGTTGTAGATGAGTATTTTGGCCTTCTTGTGCATTGAAAAATAACTTGTTTACTAAAAAGTTATTAACCCTCATGGACCAAGCTATTTTTATTATACTAAACGACCAAGAGGGGGTCAATTTGACCCCACAACAATTTTTTTAATTTTATGGATTTTTTCTTATACTTTATGCAATCCATATTTCTCTTACATTGTTATTATAAGATAAAAAGGAATTGAGTTTTTGCCACAAACTCTGATTTTCTAATTCCTATCACTTTCCAACCCATTTTCCTATACCTTTGATAATTCAAAGTATTAATTCTGTTAGATCAAATAGTCTAAGTTTGAAAAGACAAAGGTTTGCACTATCAGGTTACAAAGATATAGGGGTTAGAAAATGTGAGTTTGAGGCAAAAACTCAATTTCTTTCATAGGGAAATGGGAAGAAAAAAAAAGGTGGGACTCTACCAATCTAGAATATTAATCAAAATATTTATGGATACTTTTATTTATATAACCTTTTCTATACGTACGAGTATCTAACAATCCATTTATTCATAGATCCACCTATTTATATATATATATATATATATATATATATCTTTTTTTACTTATTAATCTATCTTACTATATATCTATCTGAGTATATCTGATGTGATTTAAAACAACATGCACCGCTGAAATATTGTTAACATCCTTACAGTTTTTAGATTGTTTTCTTAAACAAATATCTTAATTACTCAGATTACTCAAATAGGACCAGGGCAGAAAATTAATCCTTGTTTGATTTTGGTAACTGTTGCAACAATCAAATTTGGATAAAACTTTTCATTTACTGCATAAGAGGGCTTTGACCCCTCCGACTACAAAAACTTCAAGTTACAACCCAGCAAACAAAAACTCGAGTTAAACTTGAGTAAAACTCAACTTTTGCTTTCCGGAAGTGGAGTTTTAATTGAGTTTAAGAGTGGAGTTTTCACTGGCTATAGTCGTGCCATACAAGGATTAAGACTTGACTTTTCACCAAGATGATATCTGTATGATTTCTGGTTGATTTCTGGATGATTTCTGGATGATTTCTGGATGATATTTGGGTAATATCTGGATGATGAGAAGTGGAGTTTTAATCGAGTTTTAAAGTGGAGTTTTCATCGGCAATAGTTGTGACATATAAGGGTTAAAACTCAACTTTTCACCAAGTTGGGGGGTTGGAAAAAATATCCACTGGGTGATATTTGGACGATATGTGGGTGATATCTGGATGATATCTGGATGATATGTGGGTGATATCTGGATGATATGTGGATGATATGTGGATGATATGTGGTTGATATGTGGGTGATAACTGGATGAAATCACCCACATATCATATGGATGATATGTGGGTAATATTTGGATGATATGTGGGTGATATCTAGATGATATGTGGGTGATATTTAGATGATATCTAGATGATATCACCCACATATCATCCAAATATTACCAATCCAATCCAGTATTCTTCTTCACAAATTCACCCCATCCTCAATCATCATAAATACACATGTTATACTTTATTAACTTTCTGTTATACTTAGGTTACAAGACTTTTTAAGTGGAACTTCTATTTATCAAAAATCAGGAATTTACTGACATTGATTCTAATGAAAACATCGATTTACTCCAAAATGATAGAACTTTTGAAACATTGTATTTAACATACTTGAATACAATTTCTTACATATAAATTCTTTTGAAAAATCATCAAATATTATTAAAGTCTCATTTAAAAATGCATTTTTGTGCAGTTGAGGTTTCATGAATATATTAACACAGAAACTGGGATTCAAAAAGTCAAGTTTAAGTGGAGTTTTTAAATCCAAGTGTTTACCCTGACTTGGTAAAAAACTGGGATTAAAAAAGTCGAGTAAAAGTCAAGTTTTTCACCCAGATTTCACCAAACTTGTGACTTGGTAAGAACTGGGATTTAAAAAGTTGAGTTTAAGTCAAGTTTATGCACCTGGTAGTTTCATCCGGTTGATGACTGGGAAAATGTTGAATTAAAAAAGTTGAGTTTAAGTCGAGTTGAAGCACCCAGATTTCACCCAGTTAATAAGTAGATTTCAACAGTGGAGTTTAAGTCCAGTTAAAGTGGAGTTTTAAAGTGGATATTTGAACTCCTAGTTTTCACCCTGACTTGGTAAAAACTGGGATTCAAAAATTTGAATTTAAGTCGAGTTTATGCACCCAGATTTCACCCAGTTGATAAGTGGATTTAAACAGTGGAGTTTAAGTTAAGTTAAAGTGGAGTTTTAAAGTGGACATTTGAAATTCCAGTTTTCACCCTGATTTGGAAAAAAACTAGGATTAAAAAAGTCGCATTTAAGTCAAGTTTATGCACCCAGATTTCAGTTGGTGACTGGAATTCAAAATTGGAGTTAAAGTCAAATTTAAGTGGAATTTTGAAGTGAAGTTTAGAAAAACTAGTTGATATCTAGTTGTATCATCCACTTCTGTTTCCTGGGAAGCTTGATTATGAGCATGACAAGAATTAGCTGCCTTAAACATTCAAATTATCTCTCAATATATTGTTTTCTAGTTTATTATTTTTTGTTTAACTTTAAATTTAGGTTCAAGGCTGTAAATGTTTTCTTATTGTTTTTATTCAAAAATGTTTGGTATTCTCTGTTTTTCAGTTAGTTGAGCTATTTTGGGTAACTTGTAGTCTTTAAAACTTCATAGAATTCTATTCAGTGTACTCATTTATCTATGTTATTTCTGTATATACCATTTTTATATTTTTCTCATTAACTATGTGAACTTCTACAAAAATATTCACATGGTCAACAAATACTGAACTATTAAATTCTTTGCTTTCTTTACACTTCATTTGATGTTTTTTTGCCACAAACAGTAAAATTTTCAGGTCTAAACATGTCTAAGCATGTCTTCAGTGAAAAATTAATTTTGAAAAAAAAACTTTTAGAAGAAATACATCTTTTTAAAAAGATATTTGCACTAAATTTTGGAGTGGGATATAATGAGACTTTTTTGAGTTAGAGGGTTAAAACAAAATCCTGTTTTTTATACCTAATTATATTCTTTCCAGAGTGGTGGCATCTGAAAATCTGAAGTCTAAAACAAACCTTGTCAGCATGAAAGCAGCTCTCATGGCTGGAGCTAGCTTTACCATCCTTGGAGTTTTCATGATGCTTCTGCAATCAGTAGACCATCTAACAATTCCAATTATACCTATTTTCTATTCAACCAAAATCACAGTTATTCTGTTATACTTAACAAGCAGTGAAACAGTTTTAGAGTTCTCAAAACAAAGAATCTCTCGAAAGTTAATTTATTTTAAAGACAATGTTAAAGCTTTTAAAACATTTTGCTTGAAATTGAGAAAACCTCAGGTATCTCCTCAAAATTAGTAAGTCCTGCACACCAAAGACAAGGGCATTCACATTTGCCTGTGATTATTATATATTTGAAAGGCCAAGATCAATTTTTTCTGAATAATAACAAAGACATATTTCCAAACTTTGTTATTAGCTTTAGTTTATTTACCTTAACCAGCCCGTGAACCATCCAAATATGTCATAAAATATAAAGACATTCATATTCCCTAAAACTTTTATTCAGCATAGAAAATAGACATGCCTTGAGACTAAAGAGATTATTAAAAATCTTTTTTTTAAGTCTCAAGAATTTTTTCACAAACAAGTAAAAGGAATTAATTTTGTAGCCACAAGCACAAAATTTCTATTCCTTTTATCTGTGCAAACATTTGATATTTCAAACTTAAACTTTTTAATCTAACAAAATTCATTATTGTATCAAAATATAATATATTGAGTACTAGCTGAAGTACCCCCAATTGCTCATGGAATAAAAAAAAATTAAAAAATATTCTAAACAAAAAAAATTTAAAATAAAAAAATATAGTTTTTTTTAGCCAATGTCACCCCTGGGATGCCCCTGGGTTTCCTTAACAAATTTCAGCCCATTTGATCCAGCTGTTTGGCTGGCTATAGCAGTAAATGTATATTGTATATTGCTTTAAGGATGAATGTTGTGGAAAATTGATAAGTCTGTATAATGTGACCAGAAGTTCCACCATCGTTGTCATGTGTCTCCCTATGTATCACATGACAATGATACTAAACTGCCATTTTTGGAAATTCTGGTTATATGATACAGATGTATCAATCATATTTTCAATTAAATCTATTAAAAAGGAATAAATTGTTAAACCTTAGGTCTAATTAAATGATGCATGGTGAGGTTTGAAAATGTTTATTGGTAAAAACTTGTTATGGAATATATGGGAGCGTTATTACTGTGTAGTTAGTTTCTGTGGGAGGATTTAGGGAGCTTCTCAACTGCTGATATTGACGAATCTTCAGAACATCAAGGAGCTGTCTGTAGCAGAACTGTATACGCTGCTTCTGTAGGGATCTGCTTGAAGCTGCAGGTGTAGACAAACTTTCTGGTTCAGGACTTGGTCCGAAAATGATAATTCTATTCTGGTTTTAGAATATCAATAAAATGCCCTTTTTGTTGGTACAGAGTTGATTTGTGAACTCTGGAGCTGGGCAAGGGGCGGCTGCAACTGATGATATCATCTTTCCAAGATTTCAACGTTAGGTTAACCTTGAGCCTGAGCCAATACGTAAAAATACACAGTGTTCACAGGATGTTCACAAAAAATACAAACATATAAATACATTTTAACTATCCATAAAAGCACAAATACCAATTCTTAAAGAATCTGTTACATTTGTTTGTGAATTTTATAAAAAAGGAGTTTTAGTTTATGTAAACACCAAACAGAGTTCCCATATACAGAGCTAATTGATTCCAACCATGATCTAAGATTCTTTGTTAAAAATACGTACTTTGAACTTCGTTACAAAATAATATATTCAAACTATATTAGAATCATTCCCAAGCTGTTGAGACTCCTCAAGGCTATCTTTATTATCAGATTTGTTGCATATTTGCTGAATATGATCTGTTTAAAACTTTGATTCCTATACCACTTCTCATATATATCAGTTTTGGTAAAACGTTGACACAGTTTTATATCAATTTCTTGAGACAGGAACATCAGATAAAACTCAAATAGGTGGCAATTAACTCTTAAAGTGTTAAGGTTTTAGCCTTATACCCCCTTTCATTTCTCCTTAACAGTCCCTTTAAGTTAATATATTGCTGCACTTATATGATTTAATTTTGACATTAAAAACCGAAAAAAGAGTTCTTACTACTATCCATGATTTTCTAATAGTTAATTACTGTCTGTGGAATAAAAAAAATATTTGTTCTTATTGTTCGTATTATTGAAAATCTTTAAAAATTGCATTTTCTTTATTTACACAAAAGTTATTTAACAAATGTAATTTGTGTATTCTTCTTGTGATAGTTGAATTCTGTGACAAATACTAAAGCATAATAGATTTATAAAATGTTTTTAGATCACATGTTTTTGTTTTGTTTATAAATACTGCAAAAATTAACCAAATTATTCAGCTAGAATTAAAAAATGTCTCAAACTTGTCTGCAATTCATTCATTATATAGGGTAATTCTCTGTATGTTATTTTTGATTTGCAAAAATTTGAGTGAATTTTCATATCACGGCAAACTCGGCAATTAAATCAATATCTAGATAAAGAGAAGTTGTGTCTTGCATTTTAATTGAAAACATCTGTAGAGAATCACCCTGAAGTGTTATAAAAAACGACATATTTTTTTTAATTATTCTTAATTAAACCATGATTTGCACTAAATTTAACTAAATTTAATTAAAGGGTAAGGAGATGAAATTTCATGCAACCCTCCATGTATGAAGTGTCATTTTTAATTCACAATGGTCTTTTTATACAATCAATCACTAATGAAAACAAATTTATGTTTTTAAACAAAAAAAAGTCATTATGTTTTAAATCCATTATTCCTAGTGATGCAAAAACTAGTCCGATCCCAAGAAGAATGTAAGCAGCAGCCATGTGGTGAAAATTTAATTTAGCCTAAAAAATTACTACATAATTTTATCAAGTAAAATAATTATATATAAAACATTTTCCTGCTTTACTGATAATAACCTGGTCTGAAAAGAAACTGATTAGTTGCCACAAACTTCAATTTTCTAATCCCTTCATCTTTGGAACTTATCAATTCAAGTCTTTGATATTTCACAACTAATTAATTCATCAAAATTTAAAGTTTCAAATATCAAAACTTTACAACATCAGGTTGCAAATATATTAGGATTTGAAAGTTTCTCCATTGTTAGAAAGCAACTTACTGTATTTGAAACTTGTTCATCATACTCTAGGTTAAACTGCTGCCTTGATATTTTCCGTATAAATCCAGCCTGAGATAGACATTAATAAACACTGTATGAAGAGTAAAAAATAGAGTTAAATAGATTTCAGTACTATCTTAAAGTAAAAATGGGTCATTCGAAAATTAAGGTGCATAAATATTTGACAATTTCTGGAATTCCTTAGTGAAATTAATACTTGCCACATTAGGTTTGAGCTTGCAAAATGCATACTGCATTTGCAGGGATTTCACAAAAAAAATGTTCTTTCTTTTTCAAAATTAGCTGTATAATTTATGATACACAAACAAGAACAAGAAAATTGAGACTTTGGAAATACAAAGATTGCAAATAACCAACAGCTGCTGATTATCTGATTATTTAAACAATTTTTTGTAAAAAATTTGTTGAAATCAATTTTCAAAATATATCTAAAAAAAATAATTGTCACATTATATAAATGAAGTAAAACAAAAATTATGTTTTTATATAGTTTGCCATTTTCTGTTCACAGATGACCTGTTGGCAAAGAAGAATGTGATGATTTACATGTTTTGCCCATTTAGAATCTTGTTGTAAAACCCATCCATAATAGTAGGGACGTATAAGTTCCTAAAAGCAAATAATCACTAGACAAAAATAACTAAAAAGAGAGTCCAAAACTAAAGCTGTGTCTGTGAGACAGAAAAAATTATTGTTCAACAATTTTGTGAACTTCAGGGATAAATATGTGCAAGGGAAAAGTAATTATAAATCCAAATCATTATAAATCAATGCAAGCTACAATTGTTACAATTTTTGAAAATGAAAAGATTATCAGAATATATTTATTTTTTTCCATTCCCACCATCATAAAACAAAATTTGCAAAAAATGAGAAAAATTTTTTTTTAGCAAGCAAATTCAAGTGTGCAAACTTTTTGGAAATTTTCAAACATAAATTTTCAAACATCAAAATTGAAAATGTGCTAATTCTCTTCATTAAAACTTCTAAAGAACTTCAAAATTTTGAAGTCCAATGACTATAGGTAGGTCTAAATATAGATTTGTAAATATAATTTAGTCTGGTATAGGTAAAATAAGGCATTTATGCTGTATGCCTGAGAACTCAGCATTAAGTGAGGAGCCTGTGCAAGTTAGATTAGTTGCCAGAAAATGTGAGCTTCATAGCTTAAATACTTTTTGGGACCCCCCCCCCCCCCACCCTCCCTCTAAGTTGGAATAGGTTTACAAAACATAAATTTAAATGGTAAAAAGCATTTCTCAGATTTATGTTACCTTCCCAAAATACAAAACTTGTTTTCTTTCCGGAAATGCATCGGTGTTTCGTAAAATATCCTGTATAACTTCCTAGGGAGAGTTGAGATTTTATTGTCAATTAGAGCTTTAAGTTTTTACTCAATAACAAGTTAATGAACTACATTTTCTGGAATTTATTGAATGAACAATTTTACTGTATTATTTGATGAACAATGTCATAAAATTAACCATATTATTAAACAAAGGACACCCATGCCCATCTCTGGTCTAAAATTGTCAGTGATATATGTAAAAGATTTATATAAAAGATTTGTTAATACCTCTCTTGGTATTACAGTATATAAAGAGATTAATTTATTTGAAAAAAATATTACCTTATTACCCATGAAAACATAGTTCTCCTTCTCTAGAGTCAGTTGAATTTGAGTTACTTCAATCTTTGTCTGAAAAATTATATTAAGAAGTTTATCTGAAGCTTTGCAAAGTTATGAGTTAATCTTGAGAAACGTTTTTTTTAACTTTGCTAAGATGTATCCTAATTTTGTTATCAAATACACTTTGTAAAAAAAAAAAAATACCGAAACATTTACAAAAACAACGTTCTCCATCATTTTAACTTGAGCTGGCACAGGCGACGTCAGGAAATAGTTTAAATGGAGATTTTCTCTAGCTTGCAGGACAACAGACTTAATATTAAATCATTACAACAAATTCAAAGATTTTTTTTTTCAAGCAAACCATTTTATTTTCTGCAATTTGTGTTGATGTATCAATAGGGATTTGGTAGGATGGAGCTAGTAGAATTGCTCTAGAAATAAATAGTCATAATTAGTATAGGCTGTAAATTCTTAAACAGAATGTCTGCCAGATAACAATTTCAAAAGGCAGTAATTAAATTTTTTTTTTTTGGGGGGGAGATGGTGGGGTTGTAATGTATCTCAATACACAACAACATGGCTTAATTGAACAAGAAACAAAAACTTTTTAAAGCCCTTGAATAAGTTAGTTTTTCTTTTTCTTTTGAATTTAAGTAAAAACTAGATTAGTGATAAGTTTACAAAGTCATGCCCATTATTGCATTAAAAGTTTCTTGTGTTTAATTAGATATCATAAATTGGTTTTACCTAAGATTGCTTGAAAAAGAGAAAGTGAGTAAGGCAGAAGACAACGCCCAACTCATTAGTAACAAACTTCCCGAATAAACTAAAAATTTTAATTTCATCAGCCTACATAATTTAAATATTCTCACAAGAAAAATTGATACCAAATATCAAAAGAAAGGAATTAAGTCTTTTCTAAAAATCAGTATTGGGTTGGACATACATAGCACATGTCAATGTAATTTAAAAGAATTATTTCAATTATGTTCATTATTACAATTTTGTCAAACCAATGAAATCCTTAAAAAAATCAAAAAAATTTAAATCATAATTGAAGGCAAAGTTAAGTCTATAATTTTTTAATATAATTGAACAAGTTTTAATGGTACTAAGACTTACTTTGCTTTATTCAAGGTACTAAGACTTACCTCGCTTATTTTAAGGTACTAAGACTTACCTCAATTATTTAAATGTACTTTGCTTAATTAAAAGGTACTACGACTTACTACAACTTACCTCGCTTATTGAAGAAAATGTAGCAATCTGGCATAGGTTCAGCATTCAGTATAGACAAAGGCATTAACAGCATTATCACATTATCAGGCTAAACAATAAATATTTAGACATACATTATTAAAAAAATTGATGCAAGTGTAAAGACCTGTTCAAATCCTAATGATTTAACCACATTTGCAATTAGCAGTAGTCCCAGACTCGCCAAAATCAGGCTGTAAAACATGTGAATAAATACTATGTGAGTATAGGCCACCTGGAACATTATAAAGTGGGTTTATGGCCCAATTTCTAACAATGAGTGTTAGAAATGGGCACAGCTATAAAGGTGGATTTTTTCGGATTCCGGCATTATCAGGAGTAAAAGTTGGTAGTAAATTATAACTAACATCTTATTAAGCATGACAAGGACAACAATTTCCATCATTTAATTGTTTTGTGAAAACAAAATCATAAAAGGATATCTTTCTATATTAAAACCTGCGGCTGTTTTCAAGCATTGCCAGGTTATACATTTTTGAAAGTATTCTGAATTTGATTATTGTTGCAGTTTCTACATACACAAACCCCACTTTCCTGTTTTGAGTATAATCCGCATTTCATAACAAAAATCATTTTTATAACTTATGAAATAAATCACTGAAACTTGTTGATAATATGAGTAAATGTTGATATGCATTTGATTAAATGTCTCAAAATCAGGATATGTTAGTTTAAAATTATCATTTCTTGTTTAATATAAAGTATTACCCATTTTCAATAAAATATTTGCTGTAGTTTTGTTCCATGATTGGCTTGGATTGAAAGATATGTAGTTTGTAAATAGATAATACGGAGTGGTAATTCTCTACATATGGATATTTTGTTCCACTGTTTACTTTCATAGACTATTTTTATACTTAATCAGAAGGTTTAGTGCAGACATATTTTCGAGAAACTTAACATTTTTAAAATTAACACATTAACAAATGAAAAATAATATTTTTACATTAAATGGGTGTAAAATTTGACAAACATTAAAAAAATACATTGATTGTGATCCCCTTGTAATGACTTATATTTCAATAATAAGAATATTTTTTTTAATAAACTGTCCTCCCGACAATATAGCCGCATAAACCAATAAATCATTTACTATACTCAAATCCTAGAAATTCAAGGAAGTACAATGACAGGATTTTGTTATAGTGAATTTTGAATACAAATAAAGAGGAAATTCTTATTTTCGACCACTTTAATACCAGTTTTCACTATAGTTTCAGTAGAAGTAAATATTTCCATTTACTGGTAGCGCCGATTGAAGGATTCATACCTCTAATTGGTTAATGAGATAGATAGAAAGATAGATGTTACCACCATACTATTTCTATTGGTTCAGAACAAACACATGACTGAACCCTGATTGGATCAGGCGCTAATGGACTCGGCATATAGGAGTGTTTTAGTACATTTGTACGCTCTTTGTATATTGTTTCTTCCTCTTTCTATTTCTTGGCAGACAGAAACTTTTGCCAGGCAACTTTTTTGAAATAATAAACACTGATTATTTCCTTATTCAATCGCACAAATTCTCATTTTTTCAAAATATATAAAAAAATGCATCTTAATTGAAAAATTCAGCTTTTATCAATTTAAAAATTCTAAACACAGCTGTCCTAGAGGCCTTGTTAGGTTTAACCGCAAATACCAAGAAAACAGCTATAACCCCCAGGAAGGTGCATGTCTGAAGGATACTTGACAGCTGCAGTCTGGAACTCAAATTATTCTAGCTACTTTTTGTAAAAAAAGGGAGAGAAAGTAAATAAAGAAAATAGATTGACAACCTGTCTTTTTGAGAAGTATTGGGACTGTTCTAATTAATCTTCATAAAAAAAAAAATTACAAAAATACCAGTAATACCAATTTAAGAAGGGGGTGAGTCCGAGAGATTAAAGTTTGCAGCAGCATATTGGGTGTCCTCCGGAGGAGCAGACGCCACCATTGTTTCCACCAGCAGGAATCCTTTTTGTATTCAATTACTCCATCGGTTGAATGGTAATTTATACAAAGGACAATAATTACTTCATCATAGGAATGCTAATTAACACTCAGGACACTGATTACTCCACATAATAGTTGGTAATTAACACCCAGGACACTAATTACTCCATTGGAAGGATGTTAATTAGCACTTAAGACAATAATTACTCCATCAGAATGATGATAATTAGCATTCAGGACACTAATTATTCCATTGGAGGGATGGCAAAAAACACTCAAAACACTAATTACTTCACCAGAGGGATGGAAATTAAAATTCAGGACACTAAGGACTCTACTGGAGGGATGGTAATTAACTCTCAGGACACTTATTATTCCATCTCAGGTATGGTAATTAACATCAGCCTGAATAGGGTTAAAGTACAACTACAGTAAAGGTAAATAACAATTACAAAAATTGTACAGGCCAAAGAGCAACCACCTTCTTTTCAGATTAGACTCATTTCAAACAATCAATTTTAGAAATGGGCCAAATCACATTTTGGAACTAAAAACGTCCCCTGGAGTATGAGTACAAAATTGACTTTACCTCACAAATATTGCAAGCCAAGTGTATTTGTCAAAAACCTGAATAAATATATTTCTTTACATTTTGATTATTCGATAAATTATTGTGAAGATATTCATCACTGTTAAATATTTTCAATTTATAATACTTACATACTACAAATAAAACTTTAAAACATTGAAAAGTCAGAATAATGTCTTTGACCCCCTTCATATCAATCAATTAATCAAAGCAGAAGATTTTTGCATTTTTAAAGTTAAATTGAACCTATTCAGGGATTTGACTGAGTTCCTTTCAAAACTAAATAATTGACTTTTCAGAAAAAAATTTTAAAAAGTAATTTTAACAATGAAAAAAAAGATTTACCTTCACAATATTTTCCATGGCAGATTTTTTTCCAGGGAACTAAATATAAATATTAGCATAATCATAATCAATGCAAACTACAGTCATAGCCAATAAGTATTGAACTTTTTATGTTTGAGAAAAATGATATAGGGTTAGAAAGTTTTGGTTTTTTGGGGTTTGTGGCAAAGTCTTAATTCCGTAGACCTGAAACCAAATTAATGAAAAGCAAGAAGTTTGAGAAAATGATATAGGGGTTAGAAAATTTGGTTTTATGGCAAAGTCTTAGTTTCTTTGACCTGGAACCAAATATAATAAAAAGCAAGAAAAAGTTAAACTAAATAAGTTGAATCACTTTTTTTCAATTTGAACTAGCCAACAATATTACATGATTCAACTAAGGACAATACAGCAGCTCCAGACATTTTTCAAGCCAGATGTTTTTTAACTGGTTATTAAAGTTGGTAATAATTACCAACTTTTTAAGAAATAAATCATTGTTAACAGTATTTTCCTTTCTTTCTTAAAGTTACCATTTGTAAATGATCTCAATTTTAGAAACGGTATTAACTGAAGGTATATCTTTAATTGTTAATGACTATTTCATGTAAAAATAGATGAAAAAATTAAATGACAAAATTCAAAAAAATCAAAACTTGCTAAAAAATTTGTTTTTGTTTTTTATAATTTCAATGCAATTTTAACTGGAAAGAATAGCAATAGTTTTTTTTCTGTCTGTTTTTTTTCATGAAAGGCCCTTTTTATTCCTTAACATTTTCCATTCAATTTCAATTAGCCAGTTTTGCTGTTTTTTATTGAAATCTTAATTAATTTTTTAAATTAGTTAATTTTTAAAACTTCGTTTGTTAACCCTAAACATGCATGGATGGGGGGTGGTTGATGCCCCCTTTTGCCCTAGCACTCTTATCATTCAGATCCCCCAGGGTTAACCAAGTCCTAGTTTAACCAAGTCTACAGTATAGTTTGAGTACTACTAACTGTCCATCAAATCTGAGCCCGCGATTTAAACAATTCGAGAAAATGCGGCTCGAGTCTAAGATGCCGTTGAGCCTTCTTTACAGCTTGAGCTTTCCGATTCAAGCTGCATCTCATTTACCACAGAGTTGAGTTCAAAAAACCGGTTTAATATCCTATTTGGCAGATTTTCAGGATTGGAATTGGCGCATTCTGGGTTTTGATGAGAACAAGACTCAACATTGAGCCTTTATTCTCCACTAAAACCAACCAAGGTTGGTTTTATTTTCATTGGGACTAACTCCTAAGTCGAGTCTAAGATCTTGCAGCTGTCAATCACGTAACACAAGCTGTTGTAAGAGTTGGGTCGAAGATCAGTTCTTAAAGTCGGAATTAAGGAATTATACGGCTCAAGCCAAAAATTTTAAATCTCAGGCTCTGGTTCCTGAATATTTCAAGAAATGTATATGCTACATGTTTAATACATGTTTAAAAAAAGAACGTATAATAAACTGCGTCTAAAGTCAGTTGTTCGAAAATTATAAAGTTTCATAAAAATGACTAGATTATCTTGAATCAGTTTTACATTATTGTAGTTGACACATGACGATCAATTCAACAAAAATAAAAACATCTTTTCTTTTTTGTTTGCTTTTTTAAGATAGGTACTTAATTATGAGTGGTCAGCTTATCAGTTCATAAGAATAAATAGAATATCTGAAATCAGTTACAATTTATAGTAGTTGACACATGACGATCAATTGAATGGTATTTTAAAATGGGATCAGTTTGATCGCAACAATATAAACCTTAGAAACCCAGGTTCTGTAATCTTCATCAATTGGAGAGCTGTATGAAATAAATGACGCTCTAAAATAAAGAAAAAAGTTTATTAAAAATTAACAAATTTTTGATTTTGCACATTTTTTGTTTCGTGAAGTACAAGTATAGACAATTTTATTACTTCAATAAAAAATGTAATTGACTTGAGAATTTAATTTAAAGAGCTTATAGTCAAAATTAGTGAAAATATATTGTTTATTGCGCAATATTTGCTGATGTATTGCGCATTATTTTTGCGACAGTTTAGCAACGTATTGTAAACCCCGAGTTTGATTCAGACTACAGCAGAATTTTAAACGCAATAATTAATTCATTAATTTATTTAATAAATAATTCCTAATCCGTTCTAGATTACAACAAACAGAATTGAGCTAAATTTGTACTACATGGAAAACAATTCTGTGCTAAACTCTATGCGATTTGGAATTAATTTGTGCGAAATTATGAAAACTGTGCAAAAATTTGCTTCTCATTGAAACCCTAAATCATATTTAAATAGTTTTGATAAAGAAATTGAGTCTTTTCCACAAGCTCTAATTTTCTAATACCAATATATGAAGAACCTAATATTGAGACCGTAGATATTTCAAACTATGAATTTTCTTACATCAAGTTTAAATATCAAAGTTTTACAACTTCGGTTACAAACATATAGGGTTCGAGTTTTGTGGCAAAAACTTAATTCCTTTTTAACTTAATATTTCGATTCCCCAAGGGTTCTGAGTAAATATATTTCAAAATGTAATTAAATCTCTATTATCCAAATCAAATAAAAACCATACCTTTCTGAAGTATATGCTATGTAAGTTATTCCAAGATCAACTTTATCATATCCAACCTATAGTTAGTAGATATAAACATTGATATATATAATTTATTTTTCTAATATTAAAGATTTAAAAAGTTTAAAAGTTAAAATTGTTAAGCTATATACATAGAATTTGCCAAATCATCAATATTTTGAATTTCATTTAATTACAGTTAATTAATTGCTTGAAGGTATTGTTGCAAATTAGGTATTGTCATCTTTGCAATGAGGGTCACATAAAATTACACTTACATTCCGTTTAATTCAATTAAAATTATTTTCTATATTTTTTTACCAGTCCTACGACTCCATTCCATCTTCCAGTATCAGCAACAATTTTACCCCATGTATCATCAGCATAGGTGTAAACAGGGTTTAATTTCAACTTTTCTATTCAATTTTAGGAAAATGTATTATTATTATTGAGATTTTTGAAATTGGGTTCAGATTCAGCTTTTCTATTCAATTTTAGGAAAATGTATTATATTTATTGAGATTTTTAGAATAGGGTTCAGATTCAGCTTTTCTCTTCAATTTTAGGAAAATGTATTATACTAGCCTTAGAGGGCGCTTCGCACCCATCTTCTAAATTAATTGTGAACATGTTCTCTTTGTGTACATCGTAAAACAAAACAAAAATAATTCGCGGATTTTCACAAAAAATTTCGCGGATTTTCAAAATTTTAAAAAATTTAATGACGATCGAATTTTGATGGAGACAAATATTTGAAATTTTGATGATTCATAAACCTTCCCTGGAGTCCCTAGATGTCCCACAAAAAATTTGGGCCCGATCGGTTCAGCCGTTTTAATGTTTATTTGATACAAACAGACAAACAAACAAACACACAGACAGACAAGCCAAATTTATATATAGATTTATTGAGATTTTTAGAACAGGGTTCAGATTCAGCTTTTCTATTCAATTTTAGGAAAATGTATTGTACTAGCCTTAGAGGGCGCTTCGCGCCCATCTTCTAGATTAATTGTGAACATGTTCACATACATCGTAAAACAAAACAAAAATAATTCGCGGATTTTCACAAAAAATTTCGCGGATTTTCAAAATTTTAAAAAATTTAATGACGATCGAATTTTGATGGAGACAAATATTTAAAATTTTAATCATTCATAAACCTTCCCTGGGGTCCCTAGATGTCCCACAAAAAATTTGGGCCCGATTGGTTCAGCCGTTTTGACGTTTATTGGATACAAACAAACAGACAGACACCCAGACAGACAAGCCAAATTTATATATAGATTTATTGAGATTTTTAGAACAGGGTTCAGATTCAACTTTTCTCTTCAATTTTATAAAATCTATTAATATTGAAATCTGAGGGTCATCTACTTGTCGTTGTCATACTGAGATATGCATGTATTTAGAAAATAGATACAATATCTTTTTAAGTTATCCACACGTTAATTAAAGAAAATGCAAAGAAATTGATTTTTTGCCATTAACTCAAAACCTTTGCAACCTTATAGTTCAAATTCAAAGTCTGAAATATTAAGGTATTCGAAGCTGCAAAGATATAGGGAATATAAAATTCGGAGCTTGTGGCAAAGACTCAATTTCTTCGAAAAATTGGAATGATTTTAGCAAAATGTATAGATAGCAAAAGGAAATACAGCAATATACTATTAATCAATAAGCCTTAAAGACTTTCAATATAATCAGGGAAAAAAACTTCCATACTTTGTAAAAAAAAAAAAAAAAAAAACATCTAAAGTGAATATTCCCAAGCTGTTCAGGGTAATAATTTTATATTTTTTATCTGGCTTTGAATAACATCATTAAGTGGAAAAATATTTTTTAAAATTTCCATAATACAAACCTATAAATGAATTGAGAAAATATCCCTCATAAGTGTTCAAGTCAACTCCGTTCTTATCTTGATCAAACTTGGGATAATAGATATTATATCCAACCCTGAAACATTAAATATCCATAATCCTATCAAGATTGGGTTGTGTGAAGGTGTCTTCCACCTCCCCTCCCCCATGTGTTTCTCCATAACTCAAAAACGACTTTCACTAAAAAACACTCAAACTTTTTCACTTTTTAACAGCATAGCTATAAACAAGATTTACAAAAAATATTTTTTGGGATACATAAAGTTGGATGGAGGACGGTCAAACGGCTGGTTGATTTTTTAAACAAATTAAAAATATTTATAACTTTTTTATTAATCAGATCTAAAACAAATTTATTAAAGCTCATCAAAAATGGATGCAATGTTTATAATTTTGTTTTTAAGTCCAATCATAATCTCGACCGTTTTGCATCAAAATCTGTAGAGCCACTGAAATGATCTTGGCCTGTTTTGAAATTATAAAAAATGTGAGTTGGCTTTCATAAAGAAAAGTTAGTTTTTTAGGCAAACTGGGTTCCTAAGTTGGAGATGTATAAATTTGTAATCTCTGATAGCCTATCTTTTTTTAAGTATGTCCGATCATAACTCATGAACCCCTTGATCTGTTTGCCTTAAAAAATTGAAAAGATCAGCCCTGTCTCTAGTGTTCATTTTCAATAATCACCTTAGTTTAAGATTGTGTAATGAATCTATTTTGCCCAAATCCTTTTTCCTGTTGAATACAACAGTAGAATAGTGATCAGACCAGATACCATCAAATCTATTCTGGTTTGTATCCCTAAATACAACAGTAGAATAGTGATCAGATCAGATACCATCAAATCTATTCTGGTTTGTAATACAACAGTAGAATAGTGATCAGACCAGATACCATCAAATCTATTCTGGTTTGTATCCCTAAATACATCAGTAGAATAGTGATCAGACCAGATACCGTCAAATATATTCTGGTTTGTATCCCTAAATACAACAGTAGAATAGTGATCAGATCAGATACCATCAAATCTATTCTGGTTTGTATCCCTAAATAGAACAGTAGAATAGTGATCAGACCAGATACCGTCAAATATATTCTGGTTGTATCCCTAAATACAACAGTAGAATAGTGATCAGACCAGATACCATCAAATATATTCTGGTTTGTATCCCTAAATAGAACAGTAGAATAGTGATCAGACCAGATACCATCAAATTTATTCTGATGATAGGATAAATAATAAATAATGATAGGATAAATGATAAATAATGATTGGATAAATGATAAATAATGATTGGATAAATAATAAACAATGATTGGATAAATAATAAACAATGATTGGATAAATAATAAACAATGATTGGATAAATAATAAATAATGATTGGATGAACAATAAATAATGATAGAATAAATAATAAACAATGATTGGTTTAATTATAAATAATGATTGGATAAATCGGTTTGAAAATCATGTCAAAGAATAGTTGTAATTACAACGTTTATAACCCGGCCAAGTTGGTCAGAATCTTGGTCAGTGTTGTACACATTTTGCATAATTGTAATATTAGCAAATTCTCATAATGGAGAATACAACTTCTAAATATTCCAGAGATCGTAACTTTTGTATTGTGAATCTCGGGATCAAGCATTTATCTCTATCTCTTGCAGATCTACGGATGAATATAATTTCTCTTGGATATACCATGGTGAAATTTTACTCTGCAGGAATAACTGAAATCAAACGTTCAAGATAAAAAATACTTGATCCTCACAAACGTTATCGCTTCAGGTTATATTAGACTACAAAGAGGGTAAGGGGGTAGGGGTGTAATTCCTAGAAGATTTCCACATGATCCGAAATTAAAAGGTTGTAATCAAATAAATAAATTATTGCTGGAAAATGATATTATTACTAAAACTAAATCTATTTCTAAAGAACAGAGACAAAAAATAAACATAATAAAAAGTAAGAAATTTTAAATTTTTGGAAATCTGAAGGTTTAATAAATGGTCTACTTATAAAATAAATAATCAAAGTACAATTCAAATAAAAAAAATATAAAAGAAAAGTTATCTTCTGATCATTCAAATTAAATGACAGATTTGATTTCCCATTACAGTGATAATTAGAAAACAATGGAATAGGAAGACGAGATTATAGCAAATCTATAATGTATTTGATGTAGTTCCAAAGCAAAAAGTTTTGATAGAAACTTATTAGAGACCAGTGATAACTGTAGACACAATTTTTAGCGAATTGTGCAAAGTCCAACACACAGCAGGACAAATTCTAGATCACTAATTTAGTGAAAAGGAACCATGCTCACACTGCACAATTCCTGTGTCTCGTGCTCATTGGTCCTTTAAATATTATTACTTGATTCTAAACTTCGTCTTTCTTTATCAGAGTTTTCTGGTTATCACTGTGCTTACCAATACCAAAACTTTTTTGAACATCTAGAGAGAAGAACAATGCGAGTTTTATCTGTAAAATAAACTTTTTAGTATTGGAGTTGAAGTCAGACTAAGGTTATATAAAAGATTTTTAACCGAAATTTAAAATTATACATAATTTAATCGTATTTAAAAATGAAAATGTTCCTTTTTTAAAATTTTCAATACTACTCAGAACATAGCATTTTATCGTGTTTTACGGTGATATTCAATATAAATCAGATTTAGTGTTGTATTTTCTTAAAGTATATTAATTAGAAGTGCCGCAAGTAAAAGTATTTTTTCGCCAAATATTTTAAAAAGGTTAGAATTGAATTATGATCTTTGTAACAACCAATAAGATTTTTATCCACATATCTTCATAGCCCAATGCTGTTTCAAACAATAGATTTCTGTTAAATCGATTAATCTAAATTCAAATTTTATAAAAGGTTTACACCATCAGGTTGCAAAGATATAGGGGTAAGACAAATTGAGTTTGTGACAAAACCAATAAGTTTCTTTCATTTCAATCCAATTATTAAATTTTTTTTAAAAGTGCGGAGAGCTTCAGCGACATTATTTATTTTGTCTAAATATATTCTACTTTAAGTATCATTTTTTTATTTTACTATAAATTGTATTTCCTATGAGATTTTCTATATGTTTACTGCTATGATTTTGTAGAATAAAAACCAGGGTCGGATTCAACCCTAACTTAATCATTTCTTCGACAGCTACAACCTGCAATGTCGAGAACAATCAATTCTAAATCTTTCTGAAAAATTGCTAAACTGTCTTTTAGTTAAAAATAAGGAAACATTTGTGCATTCGCATTTGGTTTAAAGGGAGTGACCGGCTTTGTAAGAAGTTAAACTGAGTATGCAGTGTTGTGGACAAATTCTTAAGGATTCATTTGAGACTTATTAAATTGTTTCGCGCCAGTCACCCCTGACGCTGAGTTTATTGTAATGCCCCTGGAAGCTGCCTGTACTGTGAGCGTACTTCACAGAGGAGACCGGTCTTTTGTTTATGTTGTGAAAACTAGGCCCGGCCGGTTCTGTACTCTCAGTCATGGTTCTCTGTTCAAGCTTTTAGCATGTATATACGTTATTTTCGCCTGTAAATTTCCGCGTGGTAAAAATGAATTGATTGAGTGAACGTATGTATTTTTCAGAATAATAACGGTTTAGACTTGAGATTTTGATATTTTTTGCTGTCTTTTGCTTGTGAGAGGAACGTAGAGGTATGTACAGAACCGGGGTCAAACATTTTGTGATTTTATAAAAATGATGGTTTATGATATTCATAGCCTACTATATTTTAGTCATATACATTTATTCTTGATAAAGTAGTGGAACTGATAAGTTTAAATTTTCTTGTATTTTAAATTTAAAGTAAATTGACTAGCTTAAAGTAAAATAACGTTTTCTGGAATTGATTAGATATTTCTTTTTAAGATTCAACCATCCAGTTCAACTTCCATCATTCCAGAAATATGGTTGGAAAGGGGAAGGGTTCGACTCACTCACGCAAGCCTAGGACTAGGTAAATGCTTTACCATTGCTTTATGAACTGTAGAGTACTCTCTGTAGAGTAGCTTTACATTCAATAGCTTTACATTGAATCTCTACACTTAACGAGGGAGTCCAAAACCTTGAAAAGTGCAGAATATGCCGATGGAAACAAATGCCAAAGGGGTGGGACGAAGAAGGTCTTCATCTGAGAGTCAGGGGGATCATCTGAGTAGTACCATAAACCCTGTTAATTATAATGTTCCATTGATTACTCCGAATACTGATAGATGCTTATCACAACCTAATATTTCGGGGTTCATTGATGATACCTACCGTGCAAATGCTGGGACCCGGTTACAAACTAGACGTGCTGTGGGGGGCTCCAATATTGAGAATGAGATCCGTACTAAGAGGGATTTTGAAAACATTGAGGATCGGATTATTTCATGGGAAAACGAAGCTACTAATTCTGTACAATCATTAGATGTTATTGAGCATAAGCATAATTTGTTTTGTACGGAAATAGATAAGCTTAGATCTAATGCTCTGATGGGAAGGGTGGATTTTTGTATGATTGGAGATCTTGGAATCCTAAAGAGTAGATTAGATGCCATTCGTAAAGATGCTAGAAGACTATTCAGAGCTAATCGTGAAACTGCAGTGAACTTTAGGAATGACGACGTTTTTACTCCTAATCCTAGGGTTAATAATACTCCGCCTAATGATCGCTTAGACCATGCCGAGTTAGATTTATCTGTTATTCGATCTCCTACTATTCCTAATAATGTTGAACCGATAATGACTTTAAATCAGAATTCAAGAATTGATATTGATTTAGTTAGATCCAATGACCTTACAATGAGGGGGGAACCTGCTAAAGAATGTGAACCAGTCATGAGGGGGGAGGGGAGTACCTTATCTCTAGATTTTTCTAAATCTTTAACTTCTATTCTTGCATCATTGGGAAACCTTAAGAATGATCCTAGACCCGGGTTTCAAGTTATATCCACCTGTACTGATACCTGGAGAGGGGAAACTAATTCTAAGTATGCCAGACTGGACAGTAGAGTACAGGAAATTGAAAGATCTTTAGGTGTACTGAGTAAGTCTATCGTAGAGAAGGACAAGACACAGGATGAGATAAAACTCCGTATTGGAGAATTAGATAAAACATTAAATGAGATCAAGTCAAGGATAGATCAACAGGATACGAGATACTCAACATTAGATGTAGCTATATGTACACTGCGTACTGCAATTAATGATAGAGTTAATCAAGTGGAAACCTGGTTTAATGATATAAGGGCTATGAATAGTTCTGATGTTCCTAAGGAAATTGTAGATTCTATCCAAGAAGTAATTCTAGACAGTGCTCCAGGTATAGCTGTGGAGACTATGAGGAATGAAGTTAGAGATATGAGGAAGGCTGCTCTCACAGACAGATTTATTACGGAAGGACTTAGAGATATGGTTGTCACTCTTAAGGAACAAGTAGAATCCCAATCCAACATTGTAGGAGCTAACCTGATGACCACTAATAGTTCTGCTGTATCAGAGGGGACCCTGAGAGAAAGAGAAATAGTTAAGAAGGGTATTGAGAGATTAGAGAAGCAGATTTTACAGTCTATACAGATAGTTATACCTTCCAATCCTATAGATATTTCATTGGTTAAGAAGTGTAAGACTGTTGACGTTCCTAGTATACATACTGCTGTAGGCAATATACAGAAATACTTACAGAAGTACGTTAATTTTCCTGGTATGGACTCGGCATACTGTGATAATATTAATGATTTAATGGATAGGGCTGAAACCTGGTGTCTTAATACTGAGAGATTATATAATTTAGCAGAAGTACATTCTATTAATACTTCAAAGGGGGATACTTC